ACACACACACACACAAAGACACATACATACAAACAGACAGGCACACATACATACAGATACACAGACAGACACACACACACACACACACAAGACACATACATACAAAGACACACATACATACATACAAACAAACAGACAGGCACACATACACACATACAAACAGACAGCCACACACACACACAAATAATGTTTAAGGCACCCTCCTGTTTCCTACCTTTTAGGTGCAGGAGGGTGATTTTCCCTGGGGTCTAGTGGTGGCTCGTCTTGATGGGAGTCAGAGTTTGGGCTTCAAATGAGAGGCATCAACCCAACCTATATGGCCCTCTCAGAGCATAAGGAGACCTTAATCCCTCATCCGATAAGTTTTCTCCTTACTCCACATATTAAGCTACTTCGGTCTAGCACGGTATTGACAACGTTACATATGACAAGTCACCTACATCTAGACACTTAATCATGTTGGTTATTTACCTCATTTTCCTTTGATCCCAGCCTCAGAAGGCCCTCCACTACATACAATGTTGTCACCTTGGTATTCATGACAGTTCCCCCTACCACTACATATGTACCGGTTCAAACAACAAAGGCATCATTCTTTGCCTCTACACAACTCTTACAACTTTGATATGTTTGTTCCAAATTTGTTTGTTCCATCTCTACCCCTCATACAGCCCTATTTTTTCCTTCCTGCAGCTCAGGCCTTCACTCGAAACGGTTACATACAGCTCTCCTCGGGCAAACCACGATCCAATTTCGGCCCCGCATATGGGCATTGACATACAACATTTTCCTGCTTTTGAGGGGAAACTACTGTGACGAAGTGCCCTTCGCCACTTGTGCCTGGAGAGGACTGCTTGCCCGCCTCTTGCCCTGTGACTATGGCCCCTGGGATGTATTGCCCTTTAAAGACATGATTTGGGCATAATGGATTTGTGTTGTGCTGCTGCCGGCCCTTTAAGAACCATCTGGGGACATACTGTGGAGTTACTGGGTGGCCACCATTTCCTGTATCAGAAGCACATGGTGAGAACAATGGATGGCGGCCATTTTAACTCACAGACACTGTTTGGACTTTTCAACACGGTGCCATCTCGCCAGTATTTGGTGCACAGAGACATCGTGCAGTGGTTTTGGACTATACAGCAGGGGACACATTATACAGTGATTGTTTTTCATTTAGCCTGTATATGTTCTGCAGAATCTGCATTAAACTGTATTTTCCAAAGTACTGAACGGATCTGGGTGAATTTTGGATATGTGGTTCACCCAGATCCCCCGGTTCCAAGGATATACTTTTATGGGGTTATTGCATGTTTTGGGGTCCCTGTGTGTTTTATGAAACTGTATTATTTCTGGCCAGCAGATAATTGAGCTTTGTGTATTGTAGAAACTCAATTATCTAGCCTGGCCCAGAGGAGGAGTTTTGTGTTGCATAAATTGTGAGTTCTGTGTGCCAGTAAATCAGTCTTGTTCCAGCATTAAGCCTTGGCTCATGTTTGGGGGATTGGAGAAATACACTCTGGGGATTGCTATAATCACTATACTCCCCAGGGTATGATCACTAAGTTCTGCTAAGAGCTTGTTCCTGTTCCTGCTCTCTGGGGAAAGAGAGGTTCACCCACTGGAAGCTGGATCCTGGCCTTGGGTCCAGGGTGGGTGGAGACAGCAGAGACCCCGGCGCAGTTGCATCGCTGGAAGTGGGGTCTGCAGTGCTGATGGTGTCGGTTGGAGTGCTTGGAGTCCTCAGCGAGCACTAGGAGCATCGATTGGCGGAGGTACTCAGTCGGAGTGCCAGCGGTTCCGTCACAACTACAACCCTTTCATATCACATTCTACTATTCCATACTGCCTCGCTAGGCCCATGCAAATCCTCCCTCTATGGCCCCTCTCTCGGCACACTCCCAAGAACCCAAAACCCCTCATTCCACAATTATAAGTATTCTGGCCTCTTTGATCTGTCTGTTTTACTTAAATTAGTATAACCCACACCTTCATCTAAGGCGCTTACTAGATCTCATAATTAGCTGCACACTTGTAAGCTAAAGATGTGATATACATGTTTTGGCATTTAATTACTTAGTCTATTATTTCTTACATATACTTTAGGTCCTTCTAGTAGAAGGTCTCACAGTGGGAACTCATATCTATATTAAGTTCAATCAGGTATCTCTTTTCACTTACTCATTTTGTTTGGCATAGGTATGTACTCTTTATACATAAGTTCCCTTATTTTTCTAGGTTCCCACCATTCTTACTTATCAACCTGCTGTTGACGTAGTAATCCTTAGCACAACACAGATACATTCTCTCAATTGGCACCTGCACTATCCTGGACATATTCCCATTGTGTCTTTAGGTTGCTGTCTGCGATATCCTTTCTCAATCTCAACATCACTAGTTGGGCAAGGTACCTACATTCCAAAATACTTTCTATTAATCCATTACGTTTCTATTCCCTTACATTTCTTAGGAATTGATCAACTGGCTGCAAAGGGTTTGGTGCGGGCCATTTTCTATTTCTATACTATATTCATAGTTCAGTCTTGCGAGGCCAACACCCATCAGCCCAACTTATAGCTAGAGCCTTGCTCCAACCTCTATAGGTTATTAGATAGGGCCTCACTTGTCATGGCCACTCATTTGAATCTCATACTTGTCACTGAGAGGCAAACATTCACACCACTTTGTTCTGTGGCCTCAGTCCCTTGGCCAAAATCACAGCTAGAGCCCCACCTTCCCCTTGTATAGATAATTTCTTCGCCATCCGGGACTTACACTGCTACACTCTCATCGACATGCCCATTACATTTACTCATTGTTTATTCATCATAGTATTGTCATGTATTCATCCGCACATAAAAAGGTGGTTAGTGGCATTTACCTTCTTGACAGGAAAAGTTGTGCTGAGAAGCAATCATGCACATGGAAGCCTGGTAATTGCTTTTGGGGGTCAAAGGCCGGTCATGGCCAATCAAATCCACAGGAGGGTTTGTGCTGAGAAGCAATTATGCACATGGAAACCTGGTAATTGCTTCTGTGGTCAAAGGCCGGTCATGGCCAATCAGATCCACAGGAGGGGTATTAAACCCAATTCTCCTTTTGCTCATTTCCCTATCATGGTTTCATCCTGATGGTAATCCGAGAGTGCGTTCCTGATCTTGATTTTCTGGTATTTGACTTTGGTTTCGTTTTGACTTCCCTGAATTCTGGTATCCTTGACTTTTGGCTTTCCCTCATCATTGTGTCTGATTCTGTGTTCCTGACCTCGGCAAGTATTTTGACTATTCTTGGATACGTTAAGTCCAGTCATTTTAAGGTCCAGCTTTACGTTATACTTAGTCCTTAGTGACACAGTTCTGCGTGCTGGATCAACTTGTAATCCTGACAAGTATTTCTCTCACCACTATAAGAGGTTATTTCTTTCCCAAGTACCCCGCCAGACCCTCCACACCAGCTAGTCCATTGTAGTCTGGTCAAGTACCAAGATACCACTAACATAGTTCCTAATTGCAGCCAAACACATGCATAAAGACTTACCGTTCCCAGCCACAGTACTGAAGCCGAGCTGTACAGACCATGATTGTCAACTCTGAGCTCCCCAGCCGGGTATCTGGACCCGGGTAAATATCAAAGACAACATTGCAGAGGTGCATGCCATGATGACATTATTATTATTATTTTATTATTTATATAGCGCCATCAGATTCCGTAGCGCTGTACAAAGGGTGGACTAACAGACATTTAATTGTAACCAGACAACTCAACGTACAGGAACAGAGAGGTGGAGGTCCCTGCTCAATGAGCTTACATTCTAGAGGGAGTGGGGTATAGTGACACAAAGGGTAGAAGTAGGGGTACAAAGTAAGTTGTTAGAAAAGTATTCGCTGTGGGCTTAATAGGTAATTTTTGACAGTTGCAGGAGGGTGGGGGATGAAAACCTGCTAACAGTTTAATTGATATGCATTCTTGAAGAAGTGAGTTTTCAATGATTTTTTTGAATGAGTGGAGACTGGGTGAAATTCTTATGGAGGAGGGAAGGGAGTTCCACAGAAGAGGTGCAGCCCTGGAAAATTCTTGGATGCGAGCGTTAGAGGTGGAAGCACGGACAGAGGATATACGTAGGTCTTTGGCAGAGCGCATGGGCCTCGACGGGACATACTTGTGTATTAGGGAGGATAGGTAGGTTGGAGCAGCATTATGTAGGGACTTGTAAGCAAGCACCAGAATTTTAAATTGAGCCCTATATCTAACTGGGAGCCAATGCAGGGACTGATAGAGCGGGGAGGCGTGGGAGGTGCGAGCGGACAGGAAAATGAGCCTTGCCGCTGCATTCATTATAGATTGCAACGGTGCAATCTGGGAACACGTAAGACATCCATCCTTTTGTCATAATTATGTTATATGATAGTCTGGAGAATTAGAGTCTCCTAACTCAGGAGTTCCTAACCCTCACACGGAGTACTCTGCTATGTACCCCTTACTTTCATCCACTATGGGTAACATCACAAGTTACAGTCCGGCACACATTGCCTCTGCTCACGTTATTTCACCGGCACATTTAATTCTTCTGTCATTAGGAAGTACATATTGGAAGTACATCAATTTGGTCTTCTCATAGATTGCCTGACTTAACTAATTCATTCCAAAGTAGTTAAATGCAACATGCCACAGTGGACGTCTCTGTGGCATTTGCATGGTATTATATGGTAGGGGCATTTTATTTGCCACTTGGCTCATGTCTGGGATCTTTAGCATCCCTAAACTATTGAATGTTTTTGTGGTAACCCTCTCATGGCTGCTATTGACTGTCTGTTACTCCTATACAACAATACATTATTATGACACATTTCTGACTGTTGAGGAACCTATTGCTATACTCTAGTGCATTCACAAGCCTATGGCCCAGTTTCATCCTGGGTATTCCGCTACCCCAAGATATACCTGTAACGGACCGTTTTGCACACAAGGGGTAAAAACCGTTTAGGCGATCGGCCCCCTGCCAGAGATATAGGCACAGCTACTGCAGAACACCAAACTCCCAAACTGGATACAAAATAGCACTCCAACTCCCGAACTGGAACCTCCCAAATAGCTGCTAGCAGACGAACAGGAAAAGCAGACAATCAGCTTACCCTCCTGGCAATCAGTCTCTAACAGCATACAGTGAATCCCCCCAAGAACGAGACAAGGCTCCGTGTTGAGGGTCAAGCAGTGGTCTGAGGTGCTGGCACACCCAGCCTGGTTTTTATTACAGTCTTGCAAATACAGGACCGCCCACAGGGAGGTATAAAATATCCAGTAACATTTAGTTACAACCCACAGATTCCCTCCCCCTTATCCTGAGAGGTAACCCAATACACATACCTTTTACCACAATGCATCCTGGCTTCCTCTCCTCTGCCCTGGAGATAAGTGAGAAGTAATTCAATTATCTCCCTGTCCTGGGACAAGACTCCATTATGCACATGGTGACACAAAGACAGTAAAACACTTTAAAATACATAAAGTCACATTTGTTACATAACACACAGACATTTAACATATCCCCAGATAGCTCAGGTCTGAGCGCACATTATTAAGTGAATGGCGCTCAGACCACACGAATACAGTTTAATCGCCATGGAGCCAAAGTCTTTACAGTCAGTTTCATACGAATGGGCTCCATGGGATTCCTATCTGGGGTATAACACATTCAAACAAATCTACCGAACCCCAGGCAGAAAAGCACGAATGAAGCTTTTCTGCAGGTAAAAAAGATGTCTTTTAACAGGGGGCCATAGTCCAAAGGCAGCAGGCGAGCAACCAGGCTTCTCCAATGCAATGTGGCGAGATTGGTCTCGTCACAATACCATAGGCCTATACCTGTAATATTACTACGCGTACATCTTGACTTATTGTCAATACAGCCCTGCCTCCCGCGGACAGTGTCCAGCGTATCAGGAAAGATATTATTCAACGGCAAAGGTTCATTCCCCCACTGGCCAATGATTCCACTGTTATTTTATACTGGGTTTGCAGCCTCTATCAAGGACAACTAGTTCTGTGACACATGGCCCGCAGAGACATAAAGCCTACTCTTTTAGCAACTTTCAGCTCTCGTTGTAGTGTACTCTGTCGCGGCCACTGCACAAGCCTGGGGGTCTGTATTGGGGAGGAAGTCTGTCAATTACTACTTAAACACAGCAGTATGTAAAGTTACTTAGCTGGAAGTAACACACAATTTTACCTTGTCTACATACACATACGAGCCTCTAAAATATGTAAAAGTGTGAGCGATCCTTAAAGAAGTGATATAAAGTCAAATTTTACACAATAATATTTAATATGTATAAAAGGAAAACATATATATATATATATATAAAATACTTACTTAGCTCTAAAAGGCTCATTCGTCTAAATGTGGGCTCAGAAAGAAAAAATCAAACTCATAAAAACGTTTAGAGATCACTCTAGTAACACTGCCGTAAAAGCACAACCGGGTGCGATCTCAATATGAGACAAATAGTATCCAAACACTGTAACAAAAAATCTCCTTCACAGTAGAAAGTTGCAGGAAAGGGAATCCTACCTAAACGGTGGAATGAGCAGTGTATTAAAACCCACAAAAGAATAATGAGAAAATTTAAGAAAGAACCATGAGATCATCATCAAAGGGGCAGATAAAGGCAGAGGAATAATTGTCCTAAATAGATGCGATTATGTAAAAGAGGCAAATAGAATCTTGGGGATACTGATTTTTATAGAGTATTGCCACAAGACCCTACCACAATGTTCCTTAAAGAACTACAAACCCTGATTGATAATATGTTCAGAAGGGGCATTCCAGAGAAAAAAGAAAAAAGAAAAGAAAAAATATCCCTATATTCTACTACTTCCCCAAAATTCATAAGAGCTTAATCAATCCTCCAGGACATTTGATCATTTCCTCTATTGGGTCTTTGACTGCCCCATT